CTCTTGGGGGGCTCTTGGGGGCCTCTTGGGTGCCTCTCGGGAGCCTTTTGGGGATGGCGCACGCTTGCTGCTTTTCCTGCCCCGCGCGGTCGAGCATCCGAACGTACAGGCGGCGGGGGCAGGCCGGCGGCAAAGTCTGGTGCGGGCGCCCGGCGCCATCACGATTGCCGCGACAGATAAACATAATGCAAATCATTGTTGCCCATGTGAACAACGACGGTGGCGTTCTCTGGCCCATAAGACGGGATCGCCCACTGCGACAGCGCCGTCGGTGGAGTAAAAGGGATGACAGCGATGCAGACGCCCAACTCCAAGGCGGCCGACATCACGACCAACTCGCCCGCGTACTCTTTAGTTGCCAACTTCTGCACCCAGCGAAAGCGCAGCGCCTCGGTGCGCACGGGGCCCCGGACATCCAGGCCAGCAAAGGCCGGGTATATTATGTTCATGTCGGCTCTGAGCAGCACGGCGGCTTCGCCGCCGCAGAACCAGGTCCCGAGAGCTTCCGCCAGCACGCCCAAAGGCGAGTGACGCACGCCAGCGTCGACACACTGCTGCACACCCTGTGCTGTCAGTTGGCCTGCCGCTTGAGGGGCTGGAGTGTTGCCTGGCAAAGCCTGGGCCGAAACGTCCGGCCCGCCTTCGGCCAGGCCCGCTGCGAGGCGTAGCCAGAAGCACGCACCCGTGGTTCGGCCCGCATACTGCCCCAGGTCCCAGACCTGCGCGTCGAACTGCAAGTCATTGCGCGCGCGCTGCGAGTACTGCGTCAGGACTTTGCCACTCCCCAACACTTCGCAATCCAGAGTCCAGACCGTCTTGGCGGCGGAATGGTTCGAGTGCGTCGTAGTTTGTGCGCTGCGTGTCCAGGCCGTTGAGCAGGAGCACCAACGCTTGCCGGAACTGGAACGACGTCTGCTCCAACGCACGGGTGATGTCAACCTCGTTGAAGCCCATATCGATCATGGTCGCCGCCGCAGAGGCCTCAGCCGCGGCCTCCGCCTCCGAAGCCGCGGGTCCCGGACTACCCGTTTGTGTCGACAAGGTCTTACCGCCGGACCCGCTCTGCACGCGGGCTGGCAAAGCCTGGCCCAGGTGTTCCTTCTTCGGTTTCTGTGCGCGGAACGAGGCCACGATACTCCACAGGCCGGTGGCCTTGCGGCCCGATTGCTCCTCGCAGTACCGGGAGACGCTGTCACTGATAGGCGCCACGCCCACCGCGGACAGCATCGGCCGCAGATCCGCCAGCTCAGCGTCATTAGGTTCGCGCCCTTCCTTTGCGAGCGTGGTGGTCCGCAAGTGTTGCTCGTGTTCAGCCAGCAGCGTTTCAAGAGAAGCGCCTCTCCGCTCGAGCAGTCTGGCAAACATGGCGTTTGCCTTGCTCTCGAACTCTGCCCTGGCGAAGAAGTCCTTCGTCAGGCGCGCGGACAGAAAGTCCGTCAAGGGTGGGAGCTTGTGAAAGGCCATAGACTCCCAGTTCGTGACACGGGTCCACGCCACGAAGGCCATCCCGAGCTTGCCCACCGGGTTGGGTCCTCGACATCCAGCAAAGGACACGATGCAGCCCTCGTGCGTCGTGATGCCCTGCGACTTAGGATGGTGAGCGCCCATGCCAGGCGCAAGGGTATGCCGGCGCGAGTCAACGACTGCACCTGTGCGCACCTCTGTGCCGCACCTCTGCGCAGGGGACCGGTACCCAGGTCTCTGGGAGATTGTGGAAGCAAGCGGGGCCCTTATACGCGGGCAAGTTCACGACCACGCAGTCAGGAACTGGGCAAGCGGGCTCCCCCCGGGGAAACGCTCCGAGGGAGGAGCTGGGATCTCACTATCGATATCACTCCATCGATCTCGCTATCGATTTCACTACCGATATCACTCCATCGATCTCACTATCGATCTCACAATCGATCTCTCTATGTATCTCACTCGATCGATCTCACTATCGATCTTACTCAATCGATATCACCATAGACCCCACGATCGCTCTCACTATCGATCCCACAATCGATCTCACCATCGATCTCACTCGATCGATCTCATTATGGATCGCACTATCGATCTCACAATCGATCTCACAATCGATCTCACTATCGGTCTCACTATCGTTTTCGCACCGGCGGGACACCGGGACACCCCCGGGACACCGGCGGGACACCGGCGGAAAATCGCGCGGCCCCGTTTGCTGGTCGGGAAACATTTGATCCGGCCGCGCCTCAGCCACAGGAGACCTACCGGGAGACCAGCGGGACCCCGGCGGGACACCGGCGGCGCGGCGGGACACCGCGCGGCCCCGTTTGCCGGAGGGGGGAAGCATTCGGTCTGGCCACGCCTCAGCCACATGAGACTTTCCTCTCGCCCGCCCACGCAGTTTCGCCTCGCCCGCACGCACGGCACGCACGAACACGAAACCGAAACGGATTTCCCGGTGGGGGGCTCTCCGTTCCACTTCAACCTCACCCACCAAACCTCCGAATCATCATCATAATCATCAGCATTAGCATTAGCATCAGCATTATCATCATCATCATCATCATCATCATCATCATCATCATCATCATCATCATCAGTAGCATCACCATCATCATCAGCATCATCATCATCAGCATCATCATTATCATCATCATCATCCTCATCATCATCATCGTCCGTCCTCTTGCTCCCCCCTCCTTCCCCTCCTCCTCCTCCTCCTCTCATCCTGCTCTTCAGTATCCTTGTGTTGCCTCCTCCGCGCATTTTCCGCCCGTGAAATCTACTTGTTGCTCCTCAGTGTGTTCACCTTCCACCTGGAAGCGAGGCTGTCTTAATAAAAGCGGCGGTAGCATTGACAACTGCTTACGACCTCGGTTCCGGCAGAAACAGGAAGAGCGATAAGTTGATTAGGTGCAAGGGAAGGAGAGGAACGAGGAGAAAACTCAAAGTACAGTACCCAGAAAGACTAAAAACCAGACCACGCATTTAGCAGATAACGATTGTGGGCCCAAACAAACAATCAACAAATGGCCCGGCTACTCGGTGGGCAATCAGATCGACATACAGAAAGTACATGCGGAAAATACCACGAATCCATCCAACAATGTCGTAGTGCGTTTGCGGAGCAGGAAAACTAGCAAAGGATAAAGGAGAGGAGGGAAGAGGGGACAGGAAGAAGAGGACTCGCAGCAAGGAGGGACCTGGAGATCAGACAACCTCCAACCCACGCACGTGGCCACTTGAGATGTTTGCAGGTCTGCAGGTGACCAATTCGGTCGAGTGGTTGATACACTACACCCCAGCTCAGAATTAGAAGCATCTACGCTAAGAAAATCGATGCCACTCGAAGCGTTCTCTTATACAGTAATCCAGGTCCAGATATACGAACACTCTACGAAGAACACAAGCTCCAAGAAAACGCCCAGGGTCCAGTCCAGATTTTTGAACTTCGTGCACGAAATCTGGAGTCCATGCACGTTGATTTTTTTCTCGGGATTTCTGATGGGTGCGCTCCATCACCGCAAAGTTAGTGAACCCAAAGACGGTGCCCTCGAGACGCATCCAGGGCTTAGCTGATGGCGCCGATCGGTCGGTGTCTGTGCTGAAATTATCCACGGTAGCTGGTCGGGTGCAGCGGAGGGAGGCGAGGGACGAGGGAGGCAATCCGCTGATACCCACGATGTGGCAACGAGTCGGAGGAGGGAGGGGGGAAGAATCGGCGCGCGGCTTTGAGGGAGCGCGAGGGGGCCAAAACCGAGCGCGCAGGCCGCTGCCTGCTATCGCATCGCATTCGACGATCAGGGGGGCCTAGTGGGCCCGCACCCAAGGTAACTCCGGCGAACGGTCCAGCCGAATGAAAGGGCACGAGGGGCGAGTGGGGGCGAGGGGAGGGCGGAAGAGCGAGGGGGGGCGGCGAGGCCGAGTCGGACTGTTCTGCTGCTCGCTCCCCCGGACCGAGGGGGCGGCGTGGAGCACGGTCGCCGAGCCGCACGGGAGAGCGCCCATGCCCGGGATGGACCCGGGCAGACCAGGCTCGCCCTGCTCCCGCCGAGGGCCGCGCGGAGACAGCTACGTGTCCAGAGTGCGGCAGGCCAGGAAGGCCGCCCCGAAAAAGAGCGCCGACGGCGTGGGCCGCTCGGCGACGGCGCCCGGAGGGGGAGACCGTCCGGCGCCGCCCTGCCGTGAACCGCCCCTGGGCGGCGCAGCGATGCCGACGGGTCGCTGAGGGCTTACGGTCGGGAGCAGTTGCTTGGCGTGTCGCGGCGGCAGCCCCGGCGTCACGCTGTACTGCAAGCGGATAGCGCGTCGCTCCGCCCCGCGGGGCGGGAGGCTGGGGACAGCGCGGGACACGGACGCTCGGGGACCGGAACGTGGACAACGCGTCGCGCCGAAGCGCGGAGGGCCAGAACTGGAGGAGCGACACGCTGACCAAAAGTTCCCCACCGTACCCATCGCTCGGAAGAAGGGGGGGGGCAGAGGTTTGAGCATAGACCGGGTTTCCGCCCGCTCCCTGAAGAGGGCGGCAGAGGGAAACCCGCTCGATTCTTGGAATAAGACGGCGCCCAAAACGGACTGGAATCTGGGAAGCCCAAAAAACCTGCTTCCAATGAGCAATGGGTCACGATTTCTGCTGCCGCTTGACTCGCCATGGAGCTTCCATAATTTGCCCCAGGCCTGCCTTAGACATATCCCTGGACGTGCCCCGAAGCTTGCCTGGATATGCGTTAGTTTTGCGCAGGCGTACCTCGGCCTACCCGGGGGTGGACGCAAAACCCTTTTTAGCAAAACCCACTATCGTGAAAACGACTGGGGAAAGGACCCAGGCGGACGCAGGTCCGGAAACGTTGCGACCGCAACGCCCTCCCGAGAACCGAGCACGGGCAGTTCGCCGATCGGCCTTGCAGGGCGTGGGGGTGGCTACCAACCTCAGAACTTACAGCCAAGACGCTGAAAGAAGGGGCGCTTTGGGTGCGGATGGTGCTCGCTGTTCGTTTGGTCATTCGGGGGTTGTTCCTCCAGACCTCCTCGAGCCCCCAGGGTCTCTTGGTGCTAAAAAGGGGCGCCGTTCCTTCTCTGGCATCACTTGCTTCAGCAGCCCGCATGTATCTGGCCTGGCCCACACTAGTCGAGCCCTCAGGGAGAGGGGCCTCTGGCAGGTTCCGCCTCACGCGGCAACCGCCGCGACGAGTTTGGCGGCCATCCAGTGGCCCTCCACGGCGGAGACGGCGGTCTCGTACGGGAGGGTGGCCCTCCAGACGCCACCCTGGGGGCGGGGCGGTCGCGTCCACAATTACTCAATATGAATACTACTCTCCCTCTTCCCCCGAAGGCGGCTTGAAAGTAGCCGACCCCCCTCCCGCGTACTGTTTTTTACACACAGGATTCCCGGGAGTTGGGTTTTCGCCTGCGTTTTTTTCGAAATGCTGCTCTCGCTGAGGCGCCGGCCTCATTTCTGCTCCCGAATCGTTCCGAATCGTGTTCCCGCTGCAGCGTGGGCCTCATTTTCGGATCGGTGTTTTGCCTCCGTCGTTCAGGATGGCGTTCTCGCCCCAGCGCGGGCCTCTTTCTCGCGCGCCCATCCGCCCGCCACCACCGCGCCGCACCACGCCCCGCCCCGCCGCACGCACACCCACCGCCACTTCCACCCACCAACGCACGCACGCACGCACGCGCATCACCACCGCGCACCGCCACCACCACCGCACTACCCCACCCACCACCACCACGCTACACCGCGTCACACCAAATCACACGCGCGCACACACACACACGCACGCACGCACGCACGCACGCACGCACGCACGCACGCACGCACGCACGCACGCACGCACGCACGCACGCACGCACGCACGCACGCACGCACGCACGCACGCACGCACGCACGCACGCACGCACGCACGCACGCACGCACGCACGCACGCACGCACGCACGCACGCACGCACGCACGCACGCACGCACGCACGCACGCACGCACACACCACACACACACACACACACACACACACAGACACACACACACACACACCACCACCGCCACCACCACCACCGCCATCACGCACGTACGCACCTGGCCCACCACCAAACCACCAAGACGCCACACCACGTCACACCACAGCACACGCGCACACACGCACACACACACATACACACCACCACCACAACAACCACAACCACGCACACACGCACGCACGCACGCGCACCACCACCCACTACGCACACGCGCGCGGAGCCACAGGTCCGCTACGACACGCGTCCGCGGATAGAGAAAATCAGCGCCATGGTAAGGGATGGCAGGGAGGGGTAGGATGTCAGATGTTGACGCGAGCGCACCTGACTTGCCTTAACCCCCTCTGCCTCCCCCCCCCCCTCCGACCCCCCAAAGAACCCACCAAAGAACCCCCTCGAGCCCACCAGTGGCCCCCCAGGAGCACACCCTGGATCCACCCCCACATGCCGCTTCTCGAGAACGCCTTCCATCACTCCTCCTGCAGCTATCCCTCTCCTCCCCTCATGTTCCTCCTCCTCCTTCTCCTCCTCCTCCTCGTCGTCGCCAGCACCAGCACCAGCCTCCGCATCAGCATCCGCATCATCAGCATTGTCATCAAAATCAGCATCATCATCATGTCCTGCAGCAGCAGCAACATCCTGATCCTCATCATCACCAACAACTGCATCATCATCACCATTATCATCATACTTGCCATCCGCATAACCAGCAGCAGCAACACCATCATCATCTTCCTCATCATCATCACCAGCATCACCTTCGTCATCATCATCATCATCACCACCATCATCATCATCCTCATCATCATCATCACCGTCATCATCATCACCACCATCATCATCATCACCATTGCCATCATCAAAATCCGCCGACCCCGTCGACGGGGAACCTTCTTTCGTTCCCTCCTTCTCATCCTCCGCTCCCGCCGTGGGCGAGAGAGAGAGAGAGAGAGAGAGCACCCTTCCTCGTTCGGGGAACGGGTTCGCAGCAGGAGGGAATTCCATCCACGTCCTCATTACGTCAAAGGGAAGCCCCTTTCCTTTGTCCCTTCCCCGGCGGGGGGGGGGGTCCAGGGGAGGGGGGGGGTCAGATTCGCATCGCCTCTGGGGGTCCTCCTCTCCCACGCCGGTCCTTCTCCGGCACGCCGGTCCTCCTCGGGTCCTCCTCCCCAGGTGGGGAAGAATCCGGATCCTGGGGGGGGGGGGGGGGCGCATCCCTCCCTCGGGTCCTCCTCCTTATCTCCGCCTCCTCCTCTTCCTCTTGCTCCTCCTCCTCCTCCTCCCCCTCCTGGTCGTCGTCGATGTCTTTCAGGGTCGGCGGCACTGGCCGTCAGACCTTCACAATCATCATCATCATCATCATCATCATCATCATCATCATCATCATCATCATCATCATCATCATCATCATCATCATCATCATCATCATCATCATCATCGTTATCATCATCATCATCATAACCACCAGCAGCAACATCATCGTCATCAGCCGAATCATCAGTATCGTCTTCATTATCGTCATCAGCATCATCGGCATCATCGTCATCATCAACAGCATCATCATCATCACCATCAGCCCCACCATCATCGTCCTAATCAGAATGAAGAGAATTATCGTCATTATCAACATCGTCGCCGTCATCATCAGCAGCATAGAAGCCGTCGTCGTCAACAACAATGCCATAATCATAATCACGAGCATCCGCATCAGCATCAGCAGCAGCATCACCAGTAGCGTCATCATCATCCTCATCAGCAGCACCATCACCATGAAACTCATGATCATCATCCTCAGTATCACCGGCATCATCAGTATCGTCGTCATCATTATCGTGATCCTCAGCATCATCAAAAGCATCATCATCAGCAGCATCATCAGCACCATCAACAGCATCGTCGTCGTCACCGTCATCGCCATCGCCATCGTCATCGTCTTCGTCATCAGCACTATCATCATTACCCCCTAAGTTCAGCATAATCAGCATTGTTATCCAAAGCAACATAGTTTGCATCGTCAGCATCATCATCGCCCCCGAGACACAAGAGTCCGAGGACGCCTCGCGTGGGAGCCGCTGCGGGTGCGAACAAGTAGAATCCACCAGATTTAGCGGGAACCCCCCCTCCTCCTCCTCCTCCTCCTCCTCCTCCTCCTCCTCCTCCTCCTCCCCCTCTTCCTCCTCCTCCTCCTCCTCCTCCTCCTCCTCCTCCTCCCTCCTCCTCCTCCTCCCCCTCCTCCCCCCGACCTCCTCCTCCCCATTTCTCCCTCCCTCCTCATTCCTCCGTCCTCCGTCCTCCCTCCTCCTCCATGCGTGCTCCATCCTCCCTCCGTCCTCCCTCCTCCCTCCCTCCCTCCAAAACCTCTGGGTGCATGGACCCGCTCGGCGGGTTATCCTCCAGGGCGGCCCGGAGAGAGCAGGCGGCGATGGATGAAGCGGCAACGGCTGCAGCGCTGCTGCCGCTGCCGCTTGTACTGTGGCTGCTGCTACTGCAGCTCCTGCTCCCAGGGGCCTGGGAGTGCAGACAAGTGCATTCGTTTTGCACCCTGGAAGCTCCTCCTTTCTTCAGCTTTCGAGGGTCGCTCTTCGGGAGGGGGCGCAAACCCACATAGCATGCAAAACACAATGCCTGGGCGCCTGTGGCAACAGTTGTAACCACCCACATGCTGTGGTCAAGCTCTGGTGCAAAAGCATTCTGGACCACCTATTGCCAGGAAGGGGGTAAGGCAAGCCACTGAGCCGTGGCCAACAAAGTGCCCCCCGCTCTGTGGCAAGAGAGAGAGAGAGAGGGACATCTATAATGATCACCATCACAGGCCCGATCGTGGTGCCGCCACTCTTTGATGGAGACCAAGGGTAGTGAAACTCAGCTGATTCTCCCACAGAGATCACGGGTGGAGGGCCATAATTTCAGGATGCTGACCATTGCGACGGCTACGGCGTTACACGAAGTTACGGCTTTGTTGAATGGGCACATTCAATGGACGAAAGCCTACGGTCAGGATCGTTTGCTTAGCGCGTCGCGGCGACGGCCCCTGCGACACGGCATGCCTGGGGACTGATAGCGTGTCGCTCCGCATAGCGAGGCGGGGGGCTGGGTAAAGCTCCGAACGTCGGTGCCCGGGGACTGAAATGTGGTTATCATGTCGCTCCGAAGCGAGGTGTGCCAGAACTGGTGGAGCGACACGCTAGTTAAGCAGAAACTCCTGATCGTATCCCTCTGGGTTGCCAGCTTGGCCAACTGATCCACCCAACCATTACCCATCATGTACCGGTCCTCCAAAGGCACTGCTGTGTTGCACAGAACTCGCTGGACCCTGCCTTAAGCAAGCCGTTCCTGCCTCCCCCCCTCTCTCTCTCAACCCCTCCGCCTCCGACTCGCCCCCCCCAACCCATCCCTCCTCCTTCTCCTTCTCCTCATCATCATGACCATCATCACCAACGTCAACTATTCACCCTCATCATCATCAGCAGTATCATCAGCATCACCATCATCATCAGATTCCGCATCATCATTATCCTCATCATCTTCACCATCATTATCAGCATCGTCATCATCGTCCTCGTCATCAGCATCATCATCAGCATCATAATCGTCATCATCATCATCATCACCATCACCATCACCATCATCATCATCATCATCATCATCATCATCATCATCATCATCATCATTAGTATCGTCATCATCGTACTCATCATCAGTATCATCCTCATCATCATCGACACCATCACCAACAATATCACCATCATCATCAGCCGCATAATCGTCATCATCATTACCATCAGCATCATCACCATCATCATCCGCATCATAATATTCGTCGTCATCATCACCACCATCTTCATCATCAGCATCATCGCCATCACCATCATCATCAGCATCATCACCATCACAAACCTACATAAACATGGTCATCGTTATCAGCATCAGCACCCGCATGAACATCATTAGCAGCATAACCATCATCAACATCATCAGCACCACCATAAACATCATCATCATCATCATCATCATAACACCAATGTCATTGTCATGACCATGATCATCATCATCACCACCATCAGCATGACCATCATTATTTCCCCATCATCATGATCATCATCGTCATCATCATCATCATCATCATCATCATCATCATCATCATCACCATCACCATCATCGTCAGCATCATCATCACCTTCTCCTCATCCTCCTCGTCCTCCTCCTCTTCCTTCTCCTCCCTGCATCCTGAGAAGGCGGCGCGTCCATGACCCAGCCCGTCGGCTTCATCTCCGACGCCAGCGGGGGCAGGTGGAACTGGTTGCCGCAGAATGCCCACTGTTCCAGACGCCTGCTGGAACTCACCTACGACGCTAACCATCCCCCTGCTGCTCATCCTCCTACGTCAACAGCTCCTCCTTGTAATTCTCCTAATCACCATCTTCCTCCTCCTCCTTTTTCTCTTCGTCATCATCAGCAGCAGCAACAGCATCAGCATCAGCATCAGCATCAGCATCATCATCATCATCATCATCATCATCATCATCATCATCATCATCATCATCATCATCATCGCGGTCAGAATCAGCACCATCACCACTACCATCATCATCACAACATTCATCCTCAACAGCATCATCGTAATCATCATCGTGATCCTCATCATTCTCGTCCTGATCCTCAGCCTCATGTTCACCATCATCGTCGTCGTCAGCATCATCACCACCATCATCATCTGCATCATCACCATCGTCATCATCATCTTCATCATCAAGAGTATCATCATAATCATTCGCACCACGACCATCATCACCATCACCATCTTCATCATTTTCATCATCCGAACCCTCCTGTCATCATCCGCATCATCATCCTCGTCGTCGTCGTCGCCATCGTCGTGGTTATCATCATCATCACCATCATCATCATCATCAGCATCATCATCGTCGTCGCCATGCTCATCCTCCAGCCCCTCCTCCTCTTATTCCTCCTGTTCCTCCTCGTCCTGCTCCTGCTGCTCAAGTTATCGTAATCAGCTTTTGCGAACGACCAGAACCACACAGTTTAGCGCCGTGCGCGCAACAGTACGCAACGCCGGCGCCACCGACTGGTTGATCTCTGCCATTCTTGAACAGAATGCGTACCTTCTTGGGGTCTGGATGTGCAGCAAAATGTTGAAACCCAGGTGGTTCATAGAGCCAGCCCGTGCTTGTGCCCCCCCCAGAAGCTTCTGGAACGGGCGAATCACACTTCCAAACTAATCACCGTGATGTGCGCACACCCTATCCCGCGCACCAGGGCAATCCATCCGGCTGCTCCCTCAAAGCATGGCCGAGACCAAGTCGGGGATCGTCCAGGAACCGTGGCGGACGTGCCAGGTTGATGGCCGCATCAATGGACCCCCCAGGCACAAAGATCCCCAGTTACCGCTGGTTCAGAGAATTGGTGCTCACCATACTCGCAACCTCAAGGAAGAGACCTGCAAGAGTCCTTGCGAAATATCTGTCCAGCACGGACAAGCTACTTTGGGCAGTGGGTTGTGGTGAATTGCAATAGCCCTAACTAGGAACTATGATGGTCGTCTCGTCCGTAAAAATGAGCTCAGGTACCCTGACAGCTTTCAGTGTACTTGGCAGTCATCCTCCTCGTCCTCCTCCTCCCCTTCCCGTAACTCTTCCCCCTCCTCCTCCTAGCCCAGGTCCTCATTCTTCCCCGACCCCTGCAGCGCCTCCTCTTCCTCCTCCTCCTCCTCCTCCTCCTCCAGCTGCTGCTCCTCATCCTCCTCCCCCACCACTTCCGAGGAGAAGGAACAAACAGAGAGGAGGGAGGAGGGAGAGAACGGATGACGGAGTGGACATGGATGAAGGCGGATTTGGAGGGGGGTGAGGAAAACGCTAAGAGGAGGAGGAGGAGGAGGAGGAGGAGGAGGAGGAGGAGGAGGAGGAGGACGGATGAAGAGGCGGCGTAGCGAAGGAGGGAAGAAGGAGACGGGTGTACGGACGAGGGAAAGGGAAGGAGGACGGAAGCACAGAGGGAGGAGAGAAGGAGTGAGGAGAGATGGAGGACTATGGGAAAACGGAAGGGAGCGAGGTGGAAGGATGAGAAAGGTTGCTGTAGGAGGGAGGGGGTTGGGAGGGCGTCGGCGAGAGGCGGGAAGAGGAGGGAAGCCGAGGAGGGGGAGCCACTCCTCCTCCTCCTCCTCCTTCTCCTCCTCCTCCTCCTCCTCATCATCATCATAATCAGAGTCATCATCAGCACAACCACCATCGCACATGACTCGTCACCAGCACCACCATGACCGTCAAACATAAAATCAACATTCACATCGCCATCACCACCACCATCGTCACAACCACCATCTGCAATACCATCAACACCACCACAAACACCACTTACACCATCATCTTCAACATACTCATCACCACCCGCCGCATCATCCGCTTCCTTCCCTCCTCCCTCCGAAAGCCTTCATGGTGCACTCATCGCCCGGACACGTAACATGTTCGTTTTTGTTCTTCCCCCCTGCCTACGTATCCTCGCTTTGCCCTGCGCATTCCCAGCTCCTCCTCCTCGTCCTCGCCCTCCTCCTCCTCCTCCTCCTCCTCCTCCTCCTCCCCATCCTCATCATCATCCTCATCATCATCGTCGTCGCCATCACCACCACCACCATTATCATACATAGCATCCTCATCCTCGTGATCATCGTCAGTGTTTCATCATTATCATGCTCTCTCCCCTTCTCACCGCACTCCCCCCTCCTTGGTCCTTCCTCATGCATCGTCCTCCTCCTCAACTCATCTCAGCTTCCCTGCCTCCAATCCCTATAACCCTCCAACTCCCCCCTCCTCCCCCTGAGGACAAATACGACGACGACACTGGTGGCGGAGGCGACGACGACAAGCACCGCGTAGACAAGTTCCACGACGACTGCCACGGCGAAGACGACGACACACACGAGAACCACGACGACGACGACCAGCGCCACCAGAACGAGGACGACCATCACCACCACCACCACCACCACGACGACAACTTTCACGGCGACCACGACGAGGACAACGCACACGACCTGAACGACGACGACGACGACCAATACCACAATTTTACTTGATTCGGTCCTAGAAGGCGACGCTGAAGGCGACGCTGGATTCCTGACCGTCTCGGTGAGCTTAAAGTAGAAAGCGGTTCCCTGTCGTCCCAAACTGGGACGGATGAAGCGGTGGCTCCATGACCCGACCTGTATTCATCAGGTGGCACAGGGGCTCTGGCCGGCAAGCGGGGGGCCGAAAGAGCGAGAGAGCAAAGCCAAGCGGGGAGCCCAAACAGCCGAGGCTAGGGGCGGAGAACGCAAGGAGAAAGACAACTTCAGGCGGGGATCATCAGACGAAGAAGCACAAAGGTATCCAATGGAATTTGCCGCATGAGAAGCCTCTGAACCGACACTCCCGCCCACCAATGGAGGGCCATAGGCTGATCATACATCCGATGCGAGACAAAGAAAATTCAAACCTATCTATGCACCACTTGGTACTGATTGACGGCTGAACCAAATTCACACACGTCTTCTCCCGCACGAAAGGGTTCGGCGAATCATCCAAAACCTTCCGTTGAGAAACCTTCCGGAATAGTGCAAGATGAACGAGCAAACAGGTGAGCGTTTCGACCACAACGTTGTCTCGACTACGTATCCTGTCACGACGGCCCGAAGCAATCGGCCTAATCAGTTCGATGTGCGTTCTCGCTCTGCTCTTGATCGATCTCGGACAACGAAGCCTCGTCAACTCTGAGAACAGCTGCATCCTCCTGTCCCAATGTGGCAAATCTCGGCAAGCCTGTCGGCCACGGGCGAGTTGGGTCAGAGGTTCTTTGCGTTCTGTGGCCTTTTTTTCCTGAAGAAGCTCCAGATCTGCCATCGCTTCCACTATGATGAATGGTTTTTTCTACGGCAACAGCCGGAGTTAGGATGTCATGAACTGTGCCAGCCATTTTCACCTAGTTTTGACATCGCGCCGCTTCCACAAGGTAATCCAGGGTGAATGTCCTGGCATGTGAACCACTAGCAGCCTGGACATCGCAATGGCTAGCAGTGGGAAGTGCTTTCCAGCAGCTGCTCAGAGAACGCACAGAAGGACACAAACATACGCTTGAAATGGTTACCGTAAGATTCTCCGAAGCCTTCCTTTCCAGATGATGGGGAATCCGGTCTCGGAGCTCATAGGCTCGTGTCCACAAGTTTGGGCACAACTCCCCCACAATCAAGAACGGTGCGTATATAAAAACACCCACCTGCTTGAAATGTTCCACCAGAACCCCTGGAAGCTCTCTGCACACGGTTTTGCACTGGCATGGAAATTGGACGAGCTTCAACCTGAATATGGATGGGAACGAAAAACACGGCCTCAGGCTTCAAAGTTGTCCCTTCGGCATTGTTCAGCCATAGAGCATCCAGCTCGATCCGAGGCTTCCTCTGGCAGACTCGGAGTTGTTGTCTAACACGAGAAAGCTCGCAGCCGATGTGTTGCATCTGCTTCCCGAAAGAATCTCACCAACCCTTTGCGCGACAGGTTGTCTAAGGAGGGTCTCTTTCCTCTTCCACAACGGCTCTTGCCTTCGGGGAAGGGAACCCTCCCCCTCCCCTCCCTGAGTTTTTTTCGGGAGGGGTCGCGAGGTGTCGGAGGCTTCTTTTTTGTCGGCCCCTGAGAGGGCCAATGTTTGACACCCCTCACGAGGATCGTGCCCCCCGAAGGGGGGGGGGGGGGGGAGGGAAATCGAGGACCCCCCCCCCTCTGTTGACCGACCGCCTCCAAGATGGCCCCAAGAGGCGCTTCAGGGCTCCCAGGAGGCCCCCGAAGAGGGCTCCAAGAGCGCTCCAAGAGGCCCCAAGAGGCCCCAAGCGGGCTCCAAGAGGCACCCGAGAGGCACCCAAGAGGCCCCCGAGCGGCCTCAGAGAGCCAAAGACGACCTCCAAGATGGCTCAGATAGCCCAAGCTGGCTCAAGATGGCCCCCAAGATGCGCCAAGCGGCCCCAACACCGCTCCAAGACGGCTCGAGATAGCCACGGCGCCTCCCAAGCCCCCCTCGCTGTTTGACTATGCGTGTCTTGTCCTCTCTCCCCCCGTCAACTCTCATGGGCGTCGTTTCTGGATGGGCTGGTGGGGATACACTGTTTGCTCGCGAGCGCAAGCGGGAGAGCCGCGCGCCGTCAATAAGATCCAGCGAAGACTTAAAAAGCAGCCGCCGGGAACGAGGCTAGGCGCGCGCAGCGGGCAAGCAGCCGAAAAAGGGACAGATGCCAAGCCCGAAGCTGGTGGGGATAAACGAAGCGTTAAGAATTGTTTTAGATCATTATCTCAGCGATTGGCGAGTCAGCTCTAGCATCACGACGAGAAGAATAAGACATGGCGTGGAAGGACAGGCGGAGGGTACAGGGGATGCTGAGGCGCGCTTGCCGCCTCAAAACCAGTATTGAACCAGAATGGCCACCACCACGACGGCGACGACGACAACGACGACAACCACCATGACGACGTTGACGACGACGACGACGACGACGACGACGACGACGACGACAACGGCGGCGACAACGACGAGGCGGCTGGGCGGGCGGGTGGGCTTGGGCGACGCAGCGCCTAGTCTCGCCCGGCTGCAGCTGGACGTGCACGGCCTCCAGGAGGAGGAGGCAGGGAGGGATGATGATGATGGTAGTGGCAGTGATGACGATGCTGCTGCTGATGCTGATGATGACCATGTTGATGTTGACGTTAACTGGTTAGGGCGAGTGTCATGATGATGATACTGATAAAGAAAATGATAATGCGAATGATGATAATTATGATGGTGAAAATGGTAGTGATAAATATGATGACCATGGTAATGATGACGATCATAAAACTGATACTGATACTGAGTATGATAATGAGGACGTGCACGATAATGCTAATGATACCACAGCTAATAACGACAACGACAATGATCATGATAGTCATAGTGACAGCGGTAAGGATACTGATAGAGACAGTGAAACCGAACTGAGAATGAACATGCTGATGACGATGATGGTGATGGTGATGCTATCGGTAATGGGAGTGGTAATGATAATGATAATGGTAACGGTAATGACATTGATAGTACAAGCAATGATGGTGATTAT